TTATATGGCTGTTTACAAAGAGTCAGAGGAATAGGATACACCATCCGAATGAGAAACTCATGCAAACACACAGCCACAATGGCAACATCAGTTCTCACCCGAACCCCAGTTGTTACAGATGGAAGTAAGAGAAAACTCTCAACCGTTACGATGATGGATTTTTCAGTAGACTAACTGCTAAAAAACCATTGCACTCCTTACTTTCCAAATTGCAAATAAATATTTTGTGTACATTTTAGTACATATATTGAAATTCTTCATATTTCAAAAGTTAGGAGAACTGATTTCAGTAGATGTAATGCCGAGAGTATTAAGTTTTTGTGCAACTGGAGATGATCACTTGGTATTCAAAGTCATCTGAAAGCTGAAAAGTATTTATAGTCCTTACTTTCAAAGTTAACAAGTGGATCTGTAACTTAAAATTTCTCTTTCAGATATTACGTGTTACCCGCTCGATTTTGACTTTTACTAAATAACTGTTGACATTAGAAAGAATCCCTAAAACACCATTAATTCTGAGATAATTGAATAAAAACTATGTTGATAAGTTTTGATGAACACACACCATTAATTCTGAGATAATTGAATAAAAACTATGTTGATAAGTTTGATGAACATACACCATTAATATTGAGATAATTGAATAAAAACTTTGTTGATAAGTTTTAATGTGCAAACGCCATTTATACTAAGATAAATTAATACAAACTATGATTGTACACATATGTTATATATTTCTTTTCTCTTCATCGGAGGTGAAATTGAAAAGAGAGTCTGTAGCATAGAGGCATAACACAATCCTTGATTGGCCGTACCCTCTGCTGTGGACTGCAGTTTCGCCTATGGTGAAGTAAAACGGACTCAAACCTCATAGATATTGATTGTTTGTTTGTTTGGAATTAAGCACAAAGCTACACAATGGGCTATCTGTGCTCTGCCCACCACGGGTATCGAAACCCGGTTTCTAGCGTTGTAAGTCCGCAGACATACCGCTGTGCCACTGGGGGGGCCATAGATATTGAATTCAAGCTATGTTGATAAGTTTGATGTACATACACCATTCACGCTGAGATAAGTGAATAAAAGCTACGTTGATAAGTTTGATGAACATGTCTTCAATACATATGTGGTGTATTGCCATTATGAACTTTTTATTCTGAAGTTACAAGTGAAACATCTATGATTGTGCTCCGAATAAGTATAAAACGATCCTACATATGCTAAAATGGTCATATGTACGTAGTCATTCCGGTCATCAATATGACGTTACTGAAGCTTTTATTGGCGCCTATTCTAGTGACTGAAATGTAAGGTTAAGATGACATCCCAAATGAAACGAATATTCACTCTAAGTTGCTGTGAGAGGATGTAACTACTGTTGAATAGTTTGAAAAAAAAACACCTTTGGTGTGATGCATTCAGATAAAATGTATAGAATTCATTTGTTGAACTGTTGAACTGTCTCTAACTGTTTTACTCTTAACTAAAACTGTGGAACTACTGTTAACAATATATTCAACAAACTCCAGCTCTTTCCTCTTCAGTTTGAATTTCTAACCACTGATCTTCGTGTTTAGAAGACCAGTCTCAACCTCTGTTTAATTGATTGAGGGGAGAGGGAAGGGGGGCCGTGTCAAATTTGTTTATATTAATTATAAATCTAGTCCCATAACATGCTGCATACTCTAGGGTGTATCATGGAGTCTTGTGTGATAGTTGCAAGTAGAGTTCTCCCTAGCATGTGGGAGGTTTGACTCTGGGCTGAGAAATTACCAAAACTTTAAGTTATCACAATTTTAATTCTGTATACAAGAAATTGATGTTCAGAAAAACCAACAATGACACTACTCGAGTTTAGTATTGTTTTAGCTTCACTAACCATTGACACTTTTCCTGGATAATTTTCTCCAGCGATTATACATATTCTGTTATATAAATTAGAATTAGCCTGTAACTACATGGCAATATCTTTGGAGTATCCGCTTAAATTTCTTAAGGCCACTGCTCTCATTATGACTGTTCAGTCTGTTTGTTTTAGATTTTTTGCACAAGCTATACAAGGGTTATCTATGCATAGCAGTCCCTCACTTTGAACTCATATATCAAAAGTAAGGCAGCTATTTAAAAGTATCAACTATTGGGCTACTCTTGTCTGACCAAATATTGGAACTTGACCATGACTATTATAATGCACCCATGGCTTCAAAGCGGGAGTGCATTTTTGAGGTAACAGGACATGTACAGTGAACCCTCAAATTCACAGTCCTGGTAACTAATTAACCACTAGGACACTACCAACCTGGCTATTTGGTGTCTATTAACACATCACTGAAACTGACTGTAGGATCTAACATTGTGATATCATGTTTTTTATTAATCAGAGTATGTTTTTTAAGATCTTTGATATCATAACCTGAGTGTGAAGCTGTCTGCAAGCTGTTGAAATAATAAATTAGGAATGAAGCTAGGAAAAATATTTTCAATTTTCTAACATCTTTTGACTTGAATATTTCTCTATATAGCAAAGTATAGTTATTCACAAAGTGACAGAACTTTTCAAAATTCTAACACAAGTTATATTAAAAGCAACCATCAAAATAAACATATAATCTGTAAAATAATGACTTTCGTTTGAACTTTCACTTTAAAAGGATTGGCTTGAAATTACTATAATGAACCAAAGAAAAATGTCCAAGTTGTTATGTATGAACATGTATAAGCACATATCTAAATTTTAATATAACAAAACTGTTATGTTACACTTAATATTCAAAGGAAATAATTTAACATGGGCATTGTAACACCTTGGATGATGTTTTTTCTATTTTACTCAACAACATAAAAAAACAAAATGTATTTCACTGTGTAGTTTGCATCCTAGTTTTGTATGTCTGGTCCTTATGAATGATGCTAATTATTTTTAGTCTGTTGTATCCTGGATCTGAATGAACCTACTGAGGGGCTGAGGATGCAGCCCACATATTAAACTGCCACTGGTTGTATCAGTAAAGCACCTTATGGCTCTAGAGCTTTCTACCTTCAATATCTTCCCAATCAGTAAATTAAAAAACATTTTTTTTCTTATATATATATCAACACTGGATACTTTTATTCTGTACATACGAATTTTCGTTTCTAGTTT